GCGTTAAGAAAATCAAATAGGATCAGGTCATGGTTAAGGTTAATTACAGTCTATTTGTGCCGAATTCCAGGACAATTAGTAGGGCCGGTGGTCCTGTGGTGTTGGACCGGGGTTAGTCTTGTTGTGGTGGAGGACTGATGGGGGCAGAGGTGGTGAGGACTTTGTCTGAGACAGGACAATTATTTACGTCTACTTTCTTGGGATTGGCGAGAATCTTTTTGACTTCTACTACTTATAAGTAGATAATAGAGTTTTAAAAATAAACTTTTTACTCTCATTTTTATTTACACTTACACTTACAATTAAAAATAATAATTTATTATATCGAACTACCTCATCTATATATTGCATAAGCCCTGTCTGACAACCCTTGTTACGATTTTTTTCTTAAGTTCATTTTCAACTATATATTCTTACAATAAAAAATTTTATATGCAAATTCAAAAAATTTCTTACTTTTAACTACGATTCTTCAAAAAATTATTATTTCAAAATTCATTTCCTTCAAAAAAATACTTTTTAATTGTTGTCAACATGGGCTAAACTACAATTTTTTTAAAAGTCAGCCTCGGCAGTGACTCAAAAAACTGAAGCAAAAAGCTAGAATCAAGTATATTTTGCGAATATATCTTGCATCCAAGAAGAGAGAGAAACCATTTTAAAGGTTAAGGATGTGTTTGATGTAGATTTTTTAAGAATATAATCTGCGAGTAATGATTTTTTTATTATTATTTTTTTAAAATGTATGGTCAAAAAGTAGAAAAAGTTACGAGTCACAGTGTGAAATTATTTTATTGGGAGGATTTGTTGTCGAAAATGAATTTGCGAAAAAAAATGATTTAAAAGAAAATGTGTACCAAACAAGACTAAATACATATAATTCTTGAAATCATGAAGAAAGAGGAACAAAATAGCTTTCCTAACTAACATTTTAAATTTACAATAAAATAGAAGTTGAACATAATGACCACAAGTAGAAGGCTAAGAGAACAAACAACAAATCATAATGACACATCGATGGCATCAAGAATACTCACAAGTTTGGTCAAGCAGTCGAGCATAAGTACATTTGAAACGGGGGTAAAGATCCCTACGAAGAAATATCAATAAACCAAAAGATACCTCACCTGTAATAATGAACTTTTGACTCAAG